GGTCACTTTTGCTTCCCTGCAGTGCTCAAGACTCACTTCCTCAATGTGTGGTAAATGAATTGCTGCCAATCACAATTGCCTTATTAGGCTCATGTAGAGCCACACACCTAAGAATCCATCTGTCTTTCATGTCTTAGTAATGCCCACACTGAAGAGGGTTTTTGTTGTTGTTGTTGTTCCAATGCCAAGCAAACCGCAAACTCTTCCCCTCAAAGTCTTGCTGTCATGATAACACTGAAGAGGGTTTTTGTTGTTGTTGTTCCAATGCCAAGAAAACCGCAAACTCTTCCCCGCAAAGTCTTGCTGTCCTGATCCACAATTTTTACAAAGGCATATCAAACATTAGCATTGCCAAACACCAAAAACCTATGCATACAAGCAAGCGGAATGTAGGAAGACATCTCCGAGCATTTACCACGTGGCTGTGGCTGTCGTAAGTACAGATGAGGCATGTCCTTCCTGGAATGACTTGATTGGTTCCCTGATATGTATTTCAGAACAATGGCAATGGCGGTGGCATGGGGGGTTGGGGGGGAGCAAAATGATTAGCGAATCTCACAAGAAGGCAAGTATAGGCATCTGGCTACGGAGCCTGAAGTTAAGAGTTTGATTCCCCACGGTACCTCCCTGACAAAGGTTGGACTTGATGATCCATAGGATCCCTTCCATCTCTGCAGTTCTTAGATAAAGTATTATACATGGGTTGGACATTTCCATATGCCACTCAGGAAACTAGCCTTCACTGCTGGGAATATTACAACTAAACTGGATTGTTTTTATTTTACATAGTTTTAGAAGAGATAGCTGTCTTAGTCGATGCTAGAATGTTAGACAAAACAAACAAGACAAAAAATTTAAGAATACAAAAACGGTATGGCTCCTTAAAGACTAACTGCTATATTTTAATACTTTCAGGAACAAGCCCATTTCGTCACTACTGTCTGTCTGGTTTTATTGTTTGTTAACCACACAGAATATTGCATAGCACTCATGGAACAATATATAAATAAAATAAAACAGAATAAAATAAAATAAATGCATTCCCGTGTCCGAAAGGGCTTCTACTGAGGTTAATCTTTTAACTGTATTTTAAATCATGTATCATTTAATTTATCTTTTAATATTTAACTTATTGTGTTTTTCAATTGTGTGCATTTTAATGTTTTGAGCCGCTTTGGGTCCCTTGTTGGGAGAAATAGGGCATATAAATAAAACTAATAAATAAACAAATAAGGTTACAATCAAGGATATGCTTAGTGTGAAATAAGCCATAATGAAACCACTGGATGTCCTTAAAGTTAAATACACATAGAATGAGCTATAAAAACTTTTCTAGGAAAAACACTAGTTTTACCATTGGTGTATCTGCTGCTCTCCAAAGATAAAGGCTCAGTCCCTCCTTGCCCTGACAATTACTTTCTGAGCAATAATAATGACAATAAAAAGGTACAAAAATTTCACAGCTGCTTTTGAAATTTATCTAGCCTGGGGAAAAACTAGTTGGTACAGACATTTTTTTAAAAAAAATCATAACAGAATTGTAGCATTACAGAGCTGCAAGGGACTCAGGTGAAATATGCCTAACAAATGGCTATCCAAACTGTTTAAAAAATTTTAATAAAGGGACATACAGCCTCTTGTGATGTAGTTCATTCCACTGTTGAAGAGCAATTATGCTCAGAAGGTTCCTAATGTTTAATCACGTTCTCTTTAAATTTGAATGTACTAGTTTGGGTCTTGTTCTCTGGCACTATGAAAAACAAGCTTGCCCCATTTTTCATGCAAGAGCCCTTCAGATTTTGGAAGACAGCTATCTTAACACTCAATCTTCTCTTCTTCAGACTAAAGATATTTAGATCCCTCACACATTCCTCCTTTCCTTTGGTTTCCAGTACCTTCACCATCTTGATCACATACAGTACACCGTGTTAACACATCTGATGTTGTGATTTTTAAAAAAAAAATTAAACTAAAACACCAAAATGTAATATATCGTACATCACATCACAAAAAACTGAGAGTCAAGTAACCAACATGAAAAAACAAACACCCAAATATGATACAAGAGGCACACCCTACTCTTTTTTTTGTCATATACTAGAGGCAAAGAAATTACAAAATCTGCCAACATCTCTCTGACAGGACCCACAAATATTTATCAATAATAACCCAACATACGTTCCAAGCAGTGCCATGCGTGCTTGATGACTTTCAAGCTCAACAACCTACTGAATAAATGCAATAAATTAGACAATGTCAAAGTCACTTAAGACTACTTGATATTTGACTTTCCTCAATTTTTCTGTCAACTTTTCTGAGAAAGCTAAGTCCCCAAATACATTTATGCTAGCTGTTGTGAGTTAGAACTTTTGGAAGGAGGAATTTAAAACACAACAACTATTGCCCTTTCTACTCATGCCTCTTTGTCACCTGCCATATATTGAGGGCTGTGCTTGGCAGCAGCATCTGTTCTCATGTGGATTAGAAGTAAAGAGTAAGGATGAGTAGATTTGATGAGTCCAGGCAAGCTCTCCATTATGTCTTCACAGTCAGGAAGCAGCAACGCTGGTATATGAATACCATTTTTTCTCCTTTAAAACCCAGTGCATTCAACTCTCACAGGATTTCGAGGGAGGTGTTCACGTAGAATTCTCTCCTCATGAGCTTAGAAATCCCACATATTCCCCGGTAGTCTCCAATTCTAGTATTAACAAAGTCTGACCCCACTTAGTTTCAGAAATAAGACAAGAGTAAGTATGTTCGGAGTGGGGAAGTAGTAATACCAACAAGAGAACTACCCCGCTTTCCGTTGCCTTCTTAAGGAAACTTAATCGCATATATCAGGTGTGGGCAACTTCTGGGGGTCCAAGGGCCAATTTTTGCCACCTTTGGAATTCTCTGGAGTCCACACCGACCACCAAAAATGAGGGGGGCAAAAAAAGCAGAGTTCTCTTTGACAAGTGAATTTCTGATCCTGGATGCTCCCTGAATCATCAATTGACTTTTTCCGCTGCCACCCCACGCTGGGGAAAACAACTTTTCAATCAGGGAGGGTGACTCCGATGGAACAAGGGGTGCAAAAATAGTCCTAAGAACTTTCTGCAGCCCTGAGGTTGCACTCTGCCCTCCGTAGTACCTAAGGAAAGAATCAGTTATCTGATGATGCAGTATTTGTGGGATAATCTCACCAGAGAAATTTGTCTGGTGGCAACTCCAGTTGCTTTCTGAAACCAACCGCAGACTTTTTGTTTGTTTGTTTGTTTCATTTAAATGGGACTTTAAGTTGATCTACTTGTCACCTTTCTAGGCTCCTTAGGCTACAATACTTTGCATGCTTACATCAGAGCACTAGTTTGCAACCATGAGTCCCCCAGATGTTTTCGGATTACAACTCCAAGAAATCTTGGTCCGCACAGTGGTGCAATCCGATGAATAAATGGAGAACAGTAGTGGACTAAGGACACAGCCTTGTGGAGTGCCAGTGCTGAGAAATCTTGGTCCGCACAGCTTATGATGGAGGCTTCTGGGAATTTTAATCCAAGAACATCTGGGGATCCAAGGTTTGGAACCACTGCCTTAGAGGAAACACTACTGAATACACAGAGGAATTTACTTCGAAGCTTGTTTTGCATATCCTGGAGCTACTGTATTTTTTACTGGTCAAGCTGATGATGTTGTATTTAAAAGACTACATTCTATGTTTTATTTCAGAATTATCTGTCACACTATGAGTTAGGCCCTGGTTACACAAGGGAAATGTTCTCTAATTCTTCAAATACTCTCCATACTTCTGCTGCACTGATTTTCAGTAATATGGTGTATATATACCAGGGTAAATGTCCCAAGAACTTTTAGTGGTAATTATTTATTTCCTCCTATTTGAAACATTATGGCTGGTTACATCACAGTGCTGGTTTATTTTTTTCTCTTGCTGCAAGGGGCAATTCAGCCCCTTGATTTACATATATCTGTATTTTTAAAAATATTTATTGATATATCAATATATTAGAAAGGAGGTTCTGTTTAGGAATATGTTCTCTGTTGCGCTGGTTGCTCCTGCAAAATCGCATTGGTCCATCTACTCTGCCCCCCCCCCCCCCTTTTCTCTGCCTTTCAGCTTCCATTTCCTTTTACCCCCTGCAACTCCTGCCGACAATCTCTTCACAATGACTAGTGAAAAGCAGTGTGTTGAAATGCTGGTACTGCAGCAATGGCTCTGTGGCATACTTTTACCAACGTATCGATGCACTTGCCATAAAAAAAAATTTTAAACATTATATGCATGCTGCAAGAATGGCGGCCACCTTCCTGGCTTCGATTCCGAAAAGAAGAGGAGCAGGTTGTGCACATAGGCAATTCTGGTAAGGAATGCACCGATACAACAGAGATACAAAATAACACAACCCTCCCAGGGAGTAGAAAACAAACCGCCACTTACTTGGCCGGGAAAATGTTCTGATCTTGAATGTGGATCATGTGGCTGGGAAAAAAGAGCAGCAATCTAATTGGGGGATAACTAGAGAACATTTTCCTTGTGTGATCGGGCCATTTCTCTAAAAGTCTTAGAACTATGAAAGAAGAACTTGAAAGGCCTCAGAGAGATGAATAAAATATTCCCAGCAGTGGTAAATTCCAAAAGCAATCTTTTTTTAATGTTTTTTAAAATCTAGAACCATTCCAAAACTAATTTATTTCAGCCAGTTGCTGCTTGCCTTTTGCTGGACACTGGACAGTTTTATTCTACTGGGTCTTTTCTTGATGCTGTCCTTAGGTAAGATCAGAAATTTACTCTCCTCCTCTGCTTTCTGAATTGTTCTCTTTAGTTTATTGCATTTTTTTCTTGGTATTATATATCAGTATGGTTTCTTTAGCCTTCTTTATTATTTGTACAAAAAAGCAAGATAAGTACTGAAAAATAACATGGCATACAAAAATACCATCAAGTGCTTCAACATGATCTCTGCAAAGCCCCTTTTATCTTTCTGAATGAGTTTGTTTACCTTCTTTTTTAATGATGTTTTCCTATCTTCTAACCAATCATCCATCTGTTCTTCAATCTCTTCGATAGAAGTACCATGATCATATGATGGTATGTATGCATTTGTATCTGCCATTGTGTATACAGGAAATTCAGATTTTGCTTTCTTGACTTTAGGTTTCTTCTCCTCTGCAAAGCAAAATATAGTTTAAGTCACCAATGCTGTCCAGATGATTCATGCACTTATTGTACCAAAATATTTTTTTATGTATTCCTTCATCATAGCTGCTACAAAGAATCATTTAGATGAGATTTATTACATTTTGGAGTTTATAAAACAGTTCACATCACCTTTGTGTTCCCATAAGTGTCTGTTCACCTTCGCCTCTATGATGTTGTTGCAACTTATTTCAATGAGAGAGAGAAACCAGTACATTTCTTGTTACTACTGCAATGAGAAAACTCCAAACAGACAATGGATAACCCAGTGATCCTTTCCAGAAACCTGAAGCAGAACACAGGGTGTGAATAGAATTGGATCTAGACTTGGCCACAATTGAGAGTATTCAATTCAACTAACATGCTAACATACACTGAATTATGGAGAAAGCAAGAGAGTTCCAGAAAAACATCTACTTCTGCTTCATTGACTATGCAAAAGCCTTTGACTGTGTGGACCACAACGAACTATGGCAAGTTCTTAAAGAAATGGGAGTTCCTGACCACCTTATCTGTCTCCTGAGAAATCTATAAGTGGGACAGGAAGCAACAGTTAGAACTGGATATGGAACAACTGACTGGTTCAAAATTGGGAAAGGAGCAAGACAAGGCCGTATATTGTCTCCCTGCTTATTTAACATGAGGGTGAAAGAGGAGAGGACAAAAAATGGTCTGAAGCTCAACATAAAAAAAAACACTAAGATCATGGCCACTGGTCCCATCACCTCCTGCCAAATTGAAGGGGTAGATATGGAGGCAGTGACAGATTTTACTTTCCTGAGCTCCAGGATCACGGCAGATGGTGACAGCAGCCACAAAATTAGAAGATGCCTGGTTCTTGGGAGGAAAGCGATGAGAAACCTAGACAGCATCTTAAAAAGCAGAGACATCACCTTGCCAACAAAGGTCTGCATAGTCAATGTTATGATTTTTCCAGTAGTGATGTATGGAAGTGAGCGCTGGACCATAAAGAAGGCTGACCACCAAATAATTGATGCTTTTGAATTGTTGTGCTGAAGGAGACTCTTGAGAGTCCCCTGGACTGCAAGGAGAACAAACTTATCCATGTTGAAAGAAATCAAACCCTAGTGATCCCTGGAAGGACAGATCCTGAAGCTGAAGCTCCAATACTTTGGCCATCTCATGAGAAGAAAAGACTCCCTGGAAAAAACCCTGATGTTGGGAAAGTGTGAAGGCAAGAGGAGAAGGGGACGACAGAGGAGGAGATGGTTGGACAGTGTCACCAAAGCGACCAACATGAATTTGACCAAGCTCTGGGAGGCAGTGGAAGACAGGAGGGCCTGGCGTGCTCTGGTCCATGGGGTCACAAAGAGTCGGACACGACTTAATGACTAAACTACAACAAAATTAAATTCAACAGGATTTAAGTGACTAAATCTGGGTGCATCCCAGAAACTCATATTTTTTATAAAACACACACACACACACACACACACACACACACACACACACAAAATGTATGGCAGGATGCCTTACAAAACAGAATCCTGCTTTCACACATCATAATAGTACATGCTTTATTCATTAAAATGGATAAAGACATAGCTATTGCTATGCGTTAGAGATATAGATTATTTGGTGGTTCAATGTGAAACACGTCATAGTCTTTAAAATGGTAATGACATCTGAGGAACACCAGATCTTATTACACTAGCTCTGAAGTCCAATACAGAATGAAAACATTAAACTAATACTAATCCAATTGTTAGTCCTGGCTAAAATAGACCCAGTGCATGAAGAGACCTTCTTAGGTCAATTCAAGCTGAGACTAACAATTAGATTTAGCTCTGAAGCTGCAATAACCTGAACGTGTATATGTAAATAAATCCTACTGAATACACTGTAGTGCAGCAAACACCAGGACTGCACTACAACAACTTGAGTAGTTTGGATAGGATACTGACTGGCAGTTTTCCTTCTAAGCAACTGGCTTGCTCATGGCCGTGGTGCTGGTACAGCTCCTGAGAGACAGTGCCCCATAGTAGTTAGAATGCTAGACATGGACAGAGGGCCAAAAGTTCACGAGGAAGTCTTGGGCCAGTCACCCTTCAGTTCCTAACCCATCTGACACAGATCCTATCAGGACAAAAGGCCAGGGGCAGGAAAGCTGCAGGACTGGTGAGGAATCCCTGGAGAATTTCATTTCTTGGCTGGGATGAAGTGTAATTTAAATGATAAAATAAAATACTCTAGGCAATTTGTTTTACTACTTTTGAATTTAGCCTAAATTTATTTATCAACAGAGGATAAGCAGAATCATTAACTTAACTAAAGGTCACTCAGATGCGAGTGCAACTCCTCTAACCTAATCAGCTTCATTATTACCCCGACTCTCTTCTTTTCTCTATGGAGAAGATAAAAGGTAAAACCCACTTTTGGAGGGCAGAGAGGAAGCCACACAAACATGAGAGTTAAAAGAGAGTTCTCTATAATTCATAATTACTCCATGTGGTAACCCGCCTTGTCACTGTAAGATTAAAAACATGAAAACATACAAATTCTAGAGTAAGATTATGGACATAAACAGGGCAAACCAAAAAATAGGCAATACCATGAAGAGGTGATATTACTTTCAGCAATGTACGGTATATAAAAAATGAAAATGTGGGAAACACTTGGTACTTACAAAACAAGGCAGGTTGAAAAGAAAAATGTTCATAGCTCCTCCAAACAGCAAAGTAGTTATATCTTGGAGAATCTCACCAAGTTTCAGTTCAAAACATTAGAAAAGGTAATAGATTTACCTCATAAGTTCTGCATCCACATTTTCTGCAGATGCTTGAAATTTTCAGAGCATGCCTATTTGAACTCTGTTCAGGCAGGTGTAAAACCAGTAAAGTTCACAGTGATCGTTACTTCTCCAAGAAAGAGAAATCAGTTCCAAAAGACACAGTTCATGTCTGATACTTTAGAATTAACTATATTTCTTACATATTGCATCCCAATACCATCTCACTAAACTAAAACAGTGAAGTATTAACATCTCTATCAATGAACTCAGAATTAAGAATTCAGAAGTTATTTAAGAACTTCATACTGCAGTTAAAACCACACCAAGCACACCCATTTTTAGTACTTCCAAAGAATGGAGTCAGTATATAGGATATGTCAGAAAACATATGTCTCTCCCCTCCACTCTCTGTCGCGTGCATTTTATAAAGGACAAATAGAATCAAAATGGTGCTTTAAAATACTCACTCTGAAGTGTTTCCAATTCAATTCTAGCTAAAGCCTCTTCTTTCTCCTTCATTTTTGTTTCTTTATATTCTGCATACAGTTGTCTGGCCTCCTTTAAGAAAAAAAGTTTTTTTATTAGTACCTCAAAGCAGCCAGCAGCAACAGCATTTTAAACTTTCCATAATTAATTTCAAGTCCCAGCAATTAATCACTTAGAGAGAAAAATAGGTCTTGTGCCAAATTAATCGAACAATTAAACAGACATAAAAGAAAAGAGTATAAACCACCACTACGTATCACAGCATAATCAAAGCATTATTATAAAGGAGCTGCATTAGAGCACATGTTACTGTAGCTCTCATTATGAAAATATAATTATGGGAATGAAATGTTTAATTGTCGCAAATCTGAAATATAATGGTCCTCTCTGGGGCAGCCAAAGCTCTCTTACCATCTGACGCACAAAACACAGCTCCTCCAACATTGCAAAGCTGATGATACAAACGTTTAGCACTGGGAAGTACAGAAGCACTGACAGCTGACTATACTGAGGAAGACATCATCTACAACCTACACCACCCTAACAGAACCAAAGGGAGCTTTGTGTAATTGTGGGTTATTGAATCTAACCAGTCTAGACATACAACTTCCAAGGTTAAAAAAAAAACACCTTACAGCAATGTATACTCATTACACAGGTAAGTTTATACTTGTACTCTACAGCATACTTGGTTACAGGGTACCACAAATTTTGGCTTGGTTTTCAAAACTAAGGTTAATACCCAGGCTCCTGCCACAAGTAAAAAAATGCTCTGATGTAATAGGCTTCAATTTATATTTATCAAGCTTTGGCCCAAATCCTAAAGGATGCTTCCTGGCATAACATACTCCTGACGTTGACATTTGCTGCAACATACCAAGTCTTTAGAGTCAGCTAATGCTTATGCCGACTTATTCACTTGCAACAAGTTGCCACTAAGATCTATGCAACTTGTCCTACCCCAGTGTAAAAACACTACAGGATTTTGACCATCAAGTATAACAGACTAATATGCACATTTTGTGGCAGTAAGCCAAAAGCAACATAGAAAAGTATGTCTGCCACTGTGCATAGGAGATTTACTGCTACCGGTTATAAACTGAGACTTTCTATTGAGTGTTTGCCTACAACCACATGAAGTGATAAGAACACAATCAATTCTTCTATAAAGAAAATGTATACGCTTCAGGCTTCACAGACTCAGACGACAATCTCTCAGAATTAAAATAAATGAAATAGAAGAGATGTACAGTATTGCTTTTATATGCATTTGTGCATTTCTAGTCTGAAACTGTAGAATTATTTCATATTAAGCATAAGGCCAGAATATGTTGTCATGCTTTATTCACCATTAGTAAATTATGAAAACATAATCATTAGTCATGTTTCACACTGAGTTTTGAAAATTACATCAAATATACAGAACCAATATGCTACGAGTGCCTTTACTGTGGTTTCAGTTTATACACCATCAATTAGCATTTAACTTAACTCTTTTGGTTGTTGTTGTTTAGTCGTGAAGTCGTGTCCGACTCTTCATAACACGACTTAACTCTTTTGGTACTGAAAACCAACATCTGATGCTAAATTCTGGAACAGAATCTATTATTACTTAGGCAACCCCCCCCCCCCAAGATTATAGACTCCAAGGGGTACCTGCCAATCTCTCTGGTGTGTCAATCAGGGAACAAATGGAAATGAGGCTCAGATGAAAATGACAGAAAAGAAGAGAAATATAAAAGTTTCAGCAGTCAGAGCTAGCAATGTCTAATAATTAATTGTGATACATCTGTAGTTCGAATCAATAATTACATACAAGAAGCCAAGACAAAGCTATCCAAGTTGGAAGGCAGGCAAGCATTTAGACTGTTAGGTTTTACTGAAGACAAGTCCTGAAACTCAAAGTATACATTCTGTGTGCTGTTTAAATGGACCTTTAAAAAACCCTGTTCTGATATAGTTTCTCCAGAACCAATATTTTCTTGCAAATAATCACAATGTTGTCACAAAATTAGAAAGTGTTGCTATCTTAAAAGGCATCCAGCTAGCAAATCCATTTTACAGTTCAGATGAAACCAAATGAGGGCATTTAATCTTATCCTTTGGTTGGTAGGAAAAAATATTTCTAAAAAAGAAAAATTCTCCTATACATATTATTTAAATTTACAGTACATCAGAATTTATACCCCAGCTTTTAGTTTATAAAAACAACCAAAGCAGGGAGGAAAGGGAATAAAACACTAAAATAGAATAATTAAAAACTGCTTTAAGAGATATAGGAATATAATTATATGCCACAAGATTTATGTATATGAGGCAGCAGTGCTTTCTGTTTTTAAATAAAGAAATGAGCTAGCTTATACTAGCTTGATCCACCAGGAAATTAATCTGCACAAACTCCAGTGACATAAATAGGAACAATGGAAGCAGACAGCTACGAGCTTCCATGTCTCCTATTTATTTCCATGGGACTTGTGTAAATGCCCCTGTAAAAATCCTCTGAACTTCACTGTTGAAGACCAACAGGTAATCTAAGACCTTCATTTAAGGCCTATAATTTCTGTGGAAACTAGACAGAAATCTAATAAAAGACACATAATAGAGCTTGCCTGGCATCCAGAAGTTTGACGCAAAATGAACACAAGCTTGTATTTTGCAAATGAAGGCTACCAATGGATGCAAAAAGATTACTGGTGTTGGGGAGTGGGGGAGAGGCTTCTTGCATGCAAAGAGGGAATACTGTATCACAGAAATTCAGGTTCCAAAAACAACCATCTCAGTAACGTTGTCTCATGCATTGAAAGCACACTTCTAATGTTTATTGCACGACAGCAAAGAGCACCACTAATTAATGGTGGTTAATTATGTATAATATTTCATCTAGTACCTGTCGTACAGTACTTTTGATTCCCTTCATGCATTGAAAATGTCTTCCTCTGCTCAAAAGTTCTACTGTGGGTTCAATGAAGCTCTCTGGTGGAGTCTTCATTCAATTTTAACCAGGTTTGTTATAAAACAAGTTCCACTAATTTCAGTTGGCTTTGCTTTGAAGCAGATGTGCTAAAGATTGCAGCTTTTAAGTAAAAATATTAATCATGGGATGCTTTCACATTTAGCTACTGTACAGGAGCCAAGTTAATGTTTTAGTAGTTTCCTACAAACATTTCGAGAAGTATAAAATTATCCATAATAAAAAAAATTGTTCCAATTTGTTCAGGTTTCACTTTCTTCTCCAATTAAACAAAATTAAGGATCTGTTAACAATTTTATTTTACAGTGAGAATTCATATTAAACAAAAATAAGCTATTTGTTTCAACACAGGATGAACCTTCTGCTCCAAAACTGTTTCACATAACTCAGATTTCTTCAGCTAGACCAGGATATATACAATCAAGTCATGCTATGAATCAACTTTTCTCTTGTCATTACTGCTGGTATTAGTGACACCTGGTATTCCATTAGTGCTTTAAATGTGGGCCCTCAGAAGTCAGGAAATACCCCTTCCTTATTGCTGAAGTCTTACAGGTTAAATCTTCCCCCGCTACTGCTTTCTTTAGGCCAACTGCAATTGGAAATGGAAAAACAGAGGCAGGGAAAAGATATAGTGTGTGGGAGGGGGGAAATCTCTTTTGGAAAATCCAACGTGACATAATTTTATGTACACACCCTCAATTGCTACAATGATTTTGTCATCGCTACATGGGGGAAAAAAGCAATCCCAGACTGTATGAATTTATTGCACTTACATAGGATATTATTTTATTTTTGATTCACTGGATATATATCTAGCCTTTCTCCCAAAAATGAAATTCATGGCACCTAACTATAATATTAAATAAAATAATACAACAAAAACACTAAGCAAGATCAGCTATTAAATACAACTAAATTAAACAACTAAACTCAAAATATAACTTAAATACATATTCTGAAGAAAAGGACAACATTCATCCATTAATGGCCCCAAGTCTTTCAGAAGAAATAAAGCCTTCACCTATACAGAAATAAGGGCAGACAGAGGGGCAATCTAGTCTTGCCTAGAGGGGAGTTCCAGAACATCGGAGAGTGAAATCTGGGAATAAGCGAGGCACTTCCAAATTTAGACTTTTTAGTAACTTCATGTGTCCTCAAATGATGCAGGCATGGCTTACTTGCACAAACCATCTGCACAGATTTAAACTAATGACATATTCCTCCATCTGAGAATAGTGGAGGCCATGCTGCTTGGGTGACATTATTCTACAGCAGGCCGTGTAAGTTATATAAATATAAAACACATAACACATACAGTCATGTTCATGTGTAAACTTGCAAAACAAGAGCAGATGATACCTTTACCGGGCACTAACACTTAATGAACAGACAAACGTTCGAGTCCTATGGGACTCTTTGTGAGGTTGCAGGCCTTGAAAGGCAAGAGGAGGGAGAAAAGTTCAATCATCATCCTGAGCAGAGCAAGGAAAATCCCACTGAGTGTATATTTCATTAGAGGCAAACGTTTAAGAGAAACATGCGCAACCGCACTGCTGATGTCCTCCACTTGGTGATGTACAGACCAACCCGACTTGAATCAGAAATCCATCTTAAATTGCATCCTACCCAACCCCCATTCACCACAAAATAATTAAAAATAAAGCTCTCAAAAAATTATGCTTTCAAACCCGCAGACCATTTTTCTTCGAACTCCAGAGAACCAAGAGCAGCTGGCGTAGCAAAGAACAAGTAAAATGACAACAGCTAACCTGTGGACATGCATACAAAGCAGTTTCCTGAAGTAAAGAACTACCTTAATTATTTTAAGTGCCTTCATGTATTATAGCTGGGAGAAAAGGAAAAGAAGGGGCAGGAGCAAGGGAACGCATACACTTGGATAAATGACAATCAGATGTACATAGCAGCTTTGCAACGTGATTCATGTAAATGGATATGTACCCACCCCGCCACTCATATCTTTTAGGACATATTAAAGAGACACGGAGTTGGATCCCAAGAGCTCACTGATCCCAAGAGCTCACTGGCAATAAAAGGAAGGCACTTTTGCTCACACGCAAGGCATGCATATTGTCAACCC